GCCCGCTGCACCGTCCCCGCCAGGTCGGCGACGCCGACTCGGAGCCCGGCGGGCCCGGGGCGCCGCGCGCTCGGGGACTTCTCCGGCCTGTGCAGTCTCCTTCCTCCTGCTCCTCTCCCCCTTCCCGGCGCTGCCCAGCCCGAGGGAGGAGCCTGGGTCGTCCGCCCCAAACTTGGAGTCACCCCCGCCCCCGGCCCTGCCTTTGCACTGAGCATGCCCGGCCACAGGAGCGGGCGGGCAGGACTGTTCTCAGCAAGGAGGACCTTGGGAAGAGTCTTGGTTTACACCGGGCCTCTTGACTTCCAGAAGAGAAGGGGAACCCAGCCACGGAGGAGGGTGTTGCTAGGTTAAGGTGATTGAGCGCTTACGATATGCTAAATAGCCTGATGATTTCAGTAACTTTCTCAACAACCCTCTGAGATGAGTACTATTATCCGCCCATCCTCCTGAAGAGGAAGCGCAGGGTCAGAGCGGTGAAGTGACCCAGTGCAGCTCCCACTCCAGCCTTGCTCTATCAGCCATCCTTGGGCCGCACAGTGCGGCGCCACTTCTGAACTTGTTCGTCTGAAGACTCCTGTTTTGATCCTATTTTCTTCCATGAACGGTCAATGCTTTCCTCTAAGACAATGTGTAGAGAGATTTTTACTCCTGGCCCCCTCTGGGAACAAGACACTACATGGTCTTTCATTCACTCTGCATTTATGGAGACCTGCTGTTCCAACCAGCAAGGAACCAGACAAGGTCCAGGCATTGAGGGTCTCCTGGCTGTGTGGGAGACAAAGGACCAGATGGGTTCAGCCTCTGTTCTTTCCTTAAGCAAACCTGTACTGCACAGCTACTAGAAGATACTCGGTCCTGGGTGCTGGGGGTATACACACACATACACACACACACACACACACACATACACGCTCCTACCCTTTGGAGCTTAATTCCCTATAAGGGCAGGGGCGGGAATACCATGGGGATCCACTTCAAAAGAGAAGGTTTTCATGTTTTTAACCTAGATGTCCAGCTCAAGTTTCTGGTTTCTTCCATCATTTCCTCATCAACCCTTCCAGGTGGGCAAGAAGGGAAATATTATCCAGATTTACTTTTTATAGATGAAGAAAGTAACAGCTAGAGAGGAGAAGCGCCCATGCAGGTCTTGCAGTTTGGAAATGGGACAGATATATCAATGCCTGTGTCTGTCTGGCTTCAGGGCTCACACTTTCTGCCGTGCGGAACTTCTTAAATGGCTCCTGAGAAGCGTCTCCAAGTCTCCTGGGAACCCTACGGGCAGTAACCTGAAGTTCTTGCTTTATGCTGGCTATTTCTTTGGATACTCTTTCTTTGGATAGTTTTAAAAACGTAGTGTCCCTCTCTGGGCTGTCTCATCCCCTCTGTGCTCTCCAGGACACATGGCTCTGCCTCTCCAAACACTTCTCAGTTCTGTAATAGGGGGCTGGTGGTGCTGGGGCAGAATATGGATTGAGCCTGGGGTGTGTGTCAGGGAAGTCTTATTGGAGGAGGTGGGCCTGAGCTGAGAGAGAACCGATGGAGTAGGCATTAGTGGCGGGCTCTTGGAACCCCCGACATCTTTGGGAGCAGGGGAGTGACCCGATCTGATTCGGGTACTGCCGAGCCCCTGGGTGGGGCGCGAGCACACTTGAGTCTGGCCGCCGGCGCCAGCCGCGCCAACTTTTCTCCCTGCCTCCCTCCCTCCCACGCCCGTCCTCCCCGCCTGCCGGCCCGCCAAGCCCCAGATGCCGGAGTCTGTTCCAGAAAACTTTCCGCGAAGGCTCACACTGAGCATGCTCGGCGGCGGGGCGGGCCTGGGGTCCGGAAGCTCCGGCGGCTCCGCGGCGCCCGCCGCTTTGGGGTCGCCGGTCCCGGGCGGGCGATGGGCTCGGCTGGCGCCTCGGGGCGCGCCACGTGGGTGCTCGCCGGGGGCCTCCTGGCAGCTGTCCTGGCCCTGCCCGATGGGTCTGGAGGCCGAGGCTGGCTCCCCGCGGGCCCGGGTCCCCTCCGGCGCCCCCTCGGCGCGCAGCCTCCCTCGGATGCCCCCGAGCGGACCGCGCAGGTAAGGAGGGCCGGCCCCCCAGTCTCTGGTCTGACTCTGGCGGCTTGGCTTCATCTACACTGGCGGCGGGGAGGCCCATTGGAGTTGGGGAAATTATCAGCAAGGGAGGATGGGATCTGAGTAGGATGCATCGCGTGGTCCTTAGTGTATCCCGCTTATGGCCAGATAACTCCCAGGAAAGGTGGAGACAGCGTGTGGTGGCTGCGGGCTTGGACCTGGCCAGCGGCCCCGGCCGAATGCCGCTCTGCTGCCTAAGAGCCCTGTGACCCGGGCAAGGCGCTTCACTTCTTGAGCCTCCGTTTCTTGGTCTGTAGAACAGGGCCGAGTGCAGGGTCTCCCCCCGAGTCGGTGTGCGAGTCAAATGAGTTCATGCGCGCTCTGTAGAGCGCCTTTCCTAGGTGAGCGCTCCCGGGAGTGCAGCGCTTGTTCAAAGAACAGTCTGAACTACTGGCTGGAGTCTTACCGCACGGCGCTCTCCTGGCTGATGAGTTCAGCCTCTTCCCACTTCACCCTGCCGCTCCCTCTGTCGTCCCAAACTTGGAAAGGCACAGAGCCGTTGGGTCACCGTAGGTTTCCCCTCCGTCTTCTCCCAGAGCTGGTCACCGGTCCTACTACCTTTTCCTCCTGATCAGCTCCAGTGCCTGCCCCTCCCCGGTCCCACTGCACCCCCTGGGTTCAGTCCCCACCTCTTGGCCTCTGGCCAGGTGACTGTTTCCCCTAGGTCTCCCCACCCCCCCAATTTGTGCTCTTTTAATAATTTTTTTTATTTATCTTTTTTCCCCCAAAGCCCCAGTAGATAGTTGTATGTCATAGCTGCACATCCTTCTAGTCGCTGTATGTGGGACGTGGCCTCAGCAGGGCAGGAGAAGCGGTGCGTCGGTGGCCGCCTGGGATCCGAACCCCGGTGGCAAGTAGCGGACCGCGCGCACATAACCGCTAAGCCACGAGGCGGCACCCAACTTGTGCTCTGTCCCATCCGTTTGCCCAAATCTCCGGGTGATCTGTCCATGGTATACATCTGACCACTTCTTTCCTCTGCTTCTACCCCCTTCCACCTCCAACGCTGTGGCAAACCCAGGCTTCTGTCCCCAGGAATGTCTGTCCAGTGGTCTGGCCCATCGCTGCCGTGGGGTCCTCCTGGCCCTCCCCCAGCGCCCCTGGTCCTGTTGTGTTCCCTACCTGCAGGCCCCAGGGCACCTGCTCAGATTTTTAAGGCTCTTAGAGGAGATTATCTCCACTTTCTATTATTGGTTCTTAGGTTTTCACCAGAAAAGACAAAATAATAATACTGTGTCAATGTATTGAGTTTTTAAGAAGTACCATGACAGCACATTTTCACAAGGTCCTTTCGCTTGCTCCTGCCCTGTGAGGTGGGAAGCATCTGGCCCATTTTGCAGATGAGAAAACAGAGGCCCAGGGAGCCACGCCCCAGCCCTCTCCTGTGCTCTCACCTTGAACCTCATGTTCAGAGCCCACTCGCCCCACCTGCACACGCTCTTCCCTCTGGGAAGCCAATGCTGGAACATTCTGGTGGATGTTTGTTGCTAAGCTTTACAGGAAAGCACTGTGAAAACCTGAACATAAAAGCTCACTGTTAAGTTATTATCTGTCTGTTCCTGCAAAGGGTGAACTAATAGGCTGTTATAGCCATTTGCCAGATGTTGTAAAACTGCTGTGTCCAATACAGTAGCCCTAGCCCTGTGTGGCTATTTAAATTTAAGCATTTCAACTGCTCAGTGCCCCCACCTGCTAGTGACAGCCCAGACTATAGAACATTCCCATCGTCGCAGAAAGTTCTCTTGGAAGCAGTGAAGGGTGGAGTGGCCAGGAGGCTTCTGAGCCAGCCTCTCATTACCGGTGTTTATGGAGGGTCCTGTGGGTGCCGGGCTCTGTTCTGGGTGCTTGGGATACAAGAGAACAAGACAGTCTCCACTCTTAAGAAACCTGCATTCTCGGGGCGGGAGAAACACTAAAGAACCATGTTGATCTATAGTGTGGCGGTTGGTGGTTCAGGCTGTGGAGAGAAATGCAGTGGGCAAGTGGCCTGAGAGAGACAGTGGTGAGTGCCATCTACACAGGATGGGCTGGGAAGGCGCTTTGAGGAGGTGGCGGGGAGGCCAGAATGGAATGAGGGAGGGGCAAGGACACGTGGTGGGCGGGAGCTTCCCAGAGTGACATAATAGCGAGGACAGAGGTGAGGTGTGCTTGATGTGGTCCAGGACCAGCAAGGAAGCCAGGTGTGGCCGGAGCAGAGGGGAGGGACGGGGGGGGGGGGGGGGGGGGTCAGGCCAGGAAGGGACAGCACGGAGGTGACCAGGAAGGGGCCTCTCTGTGGTGTGGCTGGCCCCGGGGGCCGCGCCTGGGGACGGGGGGGGGGGAGTGGGAGGAGATGAGGCCAGAAGAGTGAGGAGGAGCCAGATCAGGAAAGGCCCCGTGGCCTGTGGTCATTACTCTGGCTGTAAGATGGAAGCCACGGGAGAGGAAAGTGACGTGCTGTGACTCATCTTTATAAAGCATGCCTGTGGCAGGTGTGAGAATAGAGGTCAGAGGGCAGAGGTGGAAGCAAGAAGACCAAGAGAGGCAGGTGGGAGACCAGGTGGACGATGGGGGCGACCTGGACCAGGGTGGTTAATGGTGGGCTGCTGAGAAGTTGTGGGATTTTGGATATAAATTGAAGGCCGAGCCAGCGGGATTTGTTGGGATTGGGTGGGGACTGAGAGAGAGAAAGAGAGGATCACGATGAAAGCAGGGGTCGGCCTGAGCAAATGGAAGCATAGAGACACCCTCTGCTCAAATGCAGAAGCCGTGGGGGAGGAAATGAAGAATTCTGATCTGGTCTTGTTGAGTTTGACGTGCCTATGAGGCGTCCAGGTAGAGATGTCCAGTGGAGTGCTGGATGGGGAGTCTGGATTTGGGGGCAGAAATCTGAGCTGGAGATTTATACCGGGGAGTGGTCAGTGTATAAATGTCTTTAACGCCACAGGGCCTGGCTGAGCTGTGGCGAAGAGTGAGGCCTTAGGGCAGAGCCTGGGATGTCCACGTCCTGATCCCCGGATCCTGTGAACGTGGTAGGTTACCTGGCAAAGGGGAGCTAACACTGCAGGTGGAATTCAGGTTGCTAGTCAGCTGACCTTAAAAAGGGAGGTCATCCTGGACTATCCGGGGGGTCCCAGGGTAATCACAAGGGTCCTTAAAAATAGAAGAGGGAGGCCGGAGAGAGAGTTGGAAAGAGATGTGACATTGGAAGAAGGTCAGAGTGATGCACTGTGAGAAGGACTCAACCTGCTGTTGCCGGCTTTGAAGATGGAGGAAGGGAACATGAGCTAAGGAGTGTGGGCTGCCTCTAGAAGCTGGAAGAGGCTCCTTTAGAGCCTCTAGGAAAGAATGCAGCCCTGCTGAAACCTTGATTTTAGCCTAGCACGACTCATGGCCCCCAGAACTGTAAGGTAATAAACCTGTGGTGTTTGAAGCCACTAAGTTTGTGGTAACTTGTTACAGCAGCCGTAGGATACTGATACACTCACATATCAAATGCTGCTGGTAAGTTGTGTGCAGTGAGGATGGAGAACTGGTCGTTAAACGGGGCCTTGTAGAGGTCATGGTGACCTTGTCAGTAGCTGGGTGGTCTTGGAGAGAGGGATAACCAGGGAGGGGAAGGCTGGGCATTGAAAGGTGGTGTCGGCTGGCCCCTGGGCTTGGTCTCTGTGAGAAGAGTTCCCCAGAGTGGCCAGGGAGCCCCCAGAGAAACACTCCCCAGGCTGGTGATGCTCAGAAACCAGCAAGGCCTCTGGGATCAGAGACACTCAAGGCTCTCTGGCACCCAGGGCTACCAAAGGCCTTCTTGGGTTGCTGGCTCCCCGGGAACCTGCCCCTTCCTCCCACGTGGAAACCTCTGTTGGTGAAGAGACCTTTGTCCCTTGGTGAGGTCGGGGGCCAGGTCTGCTTCGCTCACTGTGTGGTGTCTAGCACAGAGCCTGCCGTGCAGCAGATGCTGGTAGAAAGAATGAATGGAAATTTCCAGGGGGCAGGGGTTGTGTGGGAGTTGGGTGCACCGTAGCACCACTGTTCACCCCAGAGACCTCACAAATGTATTTTATTTTAGTTAATGGACTTTATTTTTAGAACAGTTTTATGCTTTAGAAAAATCAAGTACATAGTACAGAAAATTCACATACCCCCCCCACAGTTTCCCCTATTATTAACATCTTACATTAGATGGTACATTTATTACAGTTAATGGACTAATTTTGATATATTATTATTAAAGTCTGTAGTTTATTCAGACTTCCTTATTTTTTTTTTACCTAGTATCCCTTCTGTCTCCCAGGCTCCCGTCCGGGACACCACCTTACATGTAGTCATCACGTCTCCTTGGGCTCCTCTTGGCTGGGGTGGTTCCTCAGACTCTCTTTGTTTTTGATGACCTTGACAGTTTGAGGAGGACAGGTCAAGTATTTTGTAGGGTGCCCCCCATTGGGATTTCTCTGGGTGTATCCTCTCAACACGGTCTGTTGCTGTTGGTGTTGACCTTGATCTCCCGGCTGGAGTAGAGGTGGTCGGGTTTCTCCACTGTGAACTAACCCTTCCCCCCTTTCTGTGCTCTACTTGTAGAAGGAGGTCACGGTGCACAGCCTGGGCGGTTGTTTTTATCATGAGATTTTTCTTCTGCCAGGTGGCAGGGAAAGACTTGCTCCATCCACATCAGAATGTCACAGCAGTGTCTGACATGTGGAAGTCTTCTTTTGAGGAAGAGGTGCCTCTTTCCACCTTGTGGAAGGACCTTATGGGCTAGTGGTTGTCCTGGCCACACACACCCGTCCAAGAAGGTCTCGGGGACAATGTTCATGTCAGGTGTGGGGGGCCTGGAGGACCCCGAAGGAACAGGCCTGCAAAGCAGCCCTGTGTCGTAGCTCCCATTGCTAAGTCCCTGTTATTATTGATGTTGCTGTTGTTGCAGTGACACATGGTCATATGCTCTTCGTTATGAGAAATGGAACAATACGATGGCACAGAAACAAGAAAGCCTCCTCTGCTGCCTGCACCCACGCCTCTCCTTTCCCCGAGGTCCCTGAGGCTAGCACTTTAGTATATCCCTTGCTAGGCTGTTAAAGATAATATGTGGTTATGATGTATTATGTTGTTAATATATAATTATATATTAAATATATGAATAATTAGTATTAAATATATTATTAAATTCTACATATACTTTCAAATTATTAAATATATATATAAATATATGTACAAATAAAAGTAACTATATATAAATATATTTAAAATAAATATATGAATATAATTCTTTTTTTTAAAGATTTTTTTTTTTGAGGAAGATTGGCCCTGAGCTAACATCTGTTGCCAATCTTCCTCCTTTTTTCCTCTTTTTTTCCCTCCCCAAAGCCCCAGTAGATAGTTGTATGTCATAGTTGTACATCCTTCTAGTTGCTCTATGCAGGACACTGCCTCAGCATGGCTTGATGAGCGGTGTGTGTGTCCATGCCTGGGATCCGAACCTGCGGACCCCGGGCTGCTAAAGCAGAGTGTGCTACGCCACTGGGCCGGCCCCATAATTCTTAAATATGTAATAACATATTAAATATATAAAAATTCCATTTTTATTAAATGGGACCATATTACTCATAATTTTGTGACCTAGTGATTTCACTTGATATATCTTAACATTCTTTCTAGGTAAACATAGACCTGTTTTATTTATTTATATTTATAATTCTGATAAAATATACATAACAAAATTTACCATCTTAGCCACTTTCAAGTGTACAGTTGGGTGGTATTAAGTACATTCACACTGTTGTGCTTCCGTCTCCAGAACTTTTCACCTTGCAGAACTGATTCTCTGTCCCCATTAAACAACAACTCCCCACCCCCCGCATCCCCTGACACCCACCGTTCCACTTGCTGTCTCTATGAATTTGACTTCTCTAGGGATCTCATATTAGTGCAGTCACACAGTATTTGTCCTTTTGTGACAGACGTATTTCATTTAGCACAGTGTCCTCCAGGTTCGTCCATGATGTAGCATGTGACAGGATTTCCTTCCTTTTTAAGGCTGAATACTATTCCATTGCATGTATAAACCACATTTAGTTTATCCATTCATCCAGCAGTGGACACGTGGGTTGCTTCTACCCTTTGGCTGTTGTGAACATGCTGCTGTGAACATGGGTGTACAAATATCTCCTTGTGACCCTGCTGTGCGTCCTTTTTGGTACGCCCCTATGTGTTGTAAGGAATAATCGTGTTACTTAAAATGGGGTTTTTTGATGATTAGTCAGGTGCGGACACGGAATAACAGCAGAGAGAGGTGTATGCAAGTGAGGTTGATTTTACTCACAGGTCCTGGAGGAGGGAGGCACACCACGTGGGGGGCCACATGGGAGGAGGGCCTGGGGATTGGGCTCAGCCAGGCAGGTGGGGAGCGAGAGAGCTCCAGGACGCTTGGGCAAGTGCTTTTATCGGGGGTTGGGGGACCCCACACGCAAAAGGCTCGAGGGATTTCACTGGAGCGTTGAGTGTTGCTAGGTCACGGTCAGGGGAGGGCAAGAAGAGCTGGGAATTCCGGGTGGGTTTGGTGCAAGGCTGGCTGGGTCTAGCTGTTCTCTCTCCTGCCGCCTGTGTCCTCAGCAGTCCCTGCGTTGCCCATCGCCCCATCTGTATCCCTCCGCGAGTGGACCTCGTGTCCCAGCCCTGTGGATGGGCCTCCTCCGTGCAGCTGGGAAAGCTGGCTTACATCGTCCCGGCAGACCGGCCTCGGCTGCGGGTGTCTGGAGGCCGGGAGGCCTGTAAGGACGGGGCCTGAAGACATGGCCACTCTGTGGCCAAGGGGACAGGCTTACTCTGACCACAAGCAAGGACACGGGGAAAGCTTTCCAAGTGGACAAAGACAGTAGCCACAGCAGGTCCCTTTCTGTCCCACTGAATCTCATGCTTCCTATGGTGTCCCACCCACTAGGGGGCTGTCTAAACCTTAGCCACGTGAACTCGCCATCAGAACTGGACCTGATTCAGGCCTGAGTGTCCCACACAGCTCTGGTGGTCTTCAATGCCTCTGCACATCCTTTCTCCTTCCATTGCGTAGAGACCAGCATGTCCAGAGCCAGGCTACCTGGGTTCAAAGCTAGTCTTCCCCACTTACTACCTGTGGGACCTGGAGTGAGTTATCAGGTTACCCCGCATCTGGGGGTTTTACTGTGAAGTGAGGATGACACTTCACTGGGTTATTATGAGGACCAGTTATAATTCACTTGGAGCACACAGCACCAGGCCTGGCCCATTTCAAGGGCTCATGCCAGGGCAGTGTTGTTATTATTATTATTATTGTACGGTACAGGGGTTCTGGCCTTTCCAGGGCTCAGTATTTCACAAAGGTGGAGTGGACGGGTTGGCTGGGCCCCGTTTGGACAGGTTTTCATCACTGAATTAGGCAAAGAAAGCTGAGAGGAGGCTTTGAGGTCCACACTTTTCAGAGGAGGGATCTGAGGCTCAGAGAGACTGAGAGATTTGGCCAAGGACACGCGACAAGTAAGTGGTTCCAGCTAGAATCCAGTTCTCCAGACTCCCAGTCTAGTGTTTTATGTGCCACTCCGTGAAAACTTGCAGGGTCTTGGGAATTCAGAGGCTCCAGACTCACCCAGCACCACAGGGTTAGTGACAAGCAGAGCTGGGATTTGAACCCAGGTCTGTCTGAGTGTATGAAATTTGGAACACGGGGCTTCCTCCCTAGACGGCTCCCAGAAATGCAGTTATGACTATGTTCTTCAGTTAATGACTGTGTGACTTTTGCATTTTTTAGGACTCGCCCAGTATGATTCAGCCCAATGTGGAAAGCTCTCACTTTAAGACTGCCGGTAAGTTTTCCTTTTGTTTGATTTTTCATGTTTTGACCGTGAAAGAGAACCAGACCCTAAAGCCGTAGCCCTCCTGCCTCCACCTCCCTCACAGCCTGCTGCTCTGACCACCTTGGGCAGATAGATTATTCCCTCACCTTACCTGCCAGGGCCGTGTGCCGCCTCCTGCAGCAGCTGGCTGGAGCTTAGTGCACAGAACAGAGCTTAGGGTAAGGCAGGTCTGTCTTGATTCTCCCGAGGGAGTCTGATTAGTAAAACACAGAATGTGTAGATTAGCCAAGTGTATGAGTTTCCTGTTGCTGCTTTAACAAATTATCACAAATTTAGTGGTTTAAAACAATACAAATTTATTCTCTTACGGTTCAGAAGGGCAGAAGCCCGAAATCAATTTAAGCGGTCTGAAGTCCAGGTGTCAGCGAGGCCCCGCGCCCTCCGAGGCTCTAGAAAGAATATGTTTCCTTCTCCTCCGGTATCCAGAGCTTTGTCCCCTGCATTCCGTAGGTCATGGCCTCTTGCTCCGTCTTCCAAGCCAGCAGTGCAGCGTCTTGCTTCACTGGTTGTGTTGCCTTCTTCTCTTCTGTCTTCACATCTCCCTCTGCCTCCCTCTTATAGGGACACCTGGGATTACGCTTAGGGCCCACCTGGATAACCCAGGTTATCTCCCATCTCAGGACCATTAATTTAATCACATCTGCAAAGTCCCTGCACCATACAAGATCACATATTCACAGGTTCCCAGGATTAGGACCTAGGTATCTTTGGGGGCCACTAGTCCTCCTGCCACACCAGCTGACAGAAATTGAACTGAAAATAACCTAAGCGAAAAGGAATTTGCTGGCCCTTGTAACTGAAAGGCCCAGGCCCCGGGCACTGCAGGATCCGGGAGCTCCATGTTCTCAGGGCTCTGCCTTTCTGTTCTGTCTCGGCCCCTGCTTTCCTCTGGTGAGCCTTGTTCTCAGGCACATTCCTTCCACGTGGTGGGAAAGCCGGCCGCTGGCAGTCTGGGCTTTCAGGAGGCTTACAGCTGTACTCACAGGGAGGAAGAGACTTCCCGGTAGCTTGGCCAAAGTTCCAGGGAAGACCGATGGGCTCAGCTTGGGTCCCATCCGTGCCTGTCCCCGACCCTGTCTCTGGGGCCTGGGGAAGGAGTATTCTGGGTTCCGTGCCTGATCCTGGCCTCCTGGGGACCAGGATGGACTGGGACCCAGGTTGGCCCTGCTTGTCTGTATAGACCGAGCAGGATTCTCACCGCCTAGAGGAGGGGCCTCCCTGAAGGGAGGGATCCTGCGTGGACGAACAGTCTTCTCATCCAGAGTCCCCTCGGCACAGATTATGAATACACCTCCCTCAAGGATCCTGTTTTATGGCAGGGGTAAACATTTTTCATTTACCTGGAGAGTTAAAAGTGTTCCCTGTGTCTTTTGTTACTCTCCACAGTCTTTACATTTTACAAAATCCAGTGTTTTCCTTTGAGTGAAGTAGGTTGAGGCGATATCACTGCAGTCGTGGAGACCTTTCACTCTTTGGTTAAGCAGACTTGTTGGTCAGAGAGAGCACAGTATACTGAGGGCTATGATTGCAGTAAGAGCGAGGGATGGAGGAGGAAGGCCACTGGGAGGGGCTGTCCAGGGAGGGCTTCCTGGAAGAGGTGCTGCTCAGCTGAGTCCTGAGGGGTGGCAGGTAGCAGGACAAGGGGTTGGAGGGAGAAGCTTCCAGGCATGTGCAGCCCAGAGGCAGAGAGTGAAGGTGTGTCTAAAGAACAGCAAGGACAGTACAGATGACCCATGTGCTCGTGGCGACAGTGGGGAGGCCAGTGAGCAATGACCTGGTGGGTGGTGATCGTCACCTTGTAGCTGGAACCCCTTCTATACTGCCTGTCGGCACCAATAGTGCCTGCCCTCATCCCAGCCTTCCTCAGAGCCTGTGGCTGGGCCTCCTGAGGGCTGGGAGGAGCCAGGCGGCATAAACAGGTGCCCCAGACAGAGAACCCAGGGTGGCCTCAAGATTTTGTGTCCAGCGAGTCTGCTGGGAAAGCATTTGTCCCTTAGCCGGGCTGGCCCGGGGTCCAGAGATGGGCATCCAGTCCCACGTGCACCCAAGTGACTTTCTCAAATGTTCCTGAGTGGGCAGCTGGCCTGGGAAAGCGCCTGCTTGTTTCCATGGGGAGGGCTGTCAATTCCCGATGCTCACCTGTATCCCCATTCCAGCTTCACGAACCCAATCAGCCACAGATCCTGTTCCAGGAAAAAAGACACTAATTTTTTCTAGGATCCTGTGCCACATTTGTTTTCAAATTTTTATTTCTTCCTACATATATTTAGAAATTCTGTAAAAGGTTTCAAAAGCACTTCTAAAGGCCTTGTATCAATACAGTGTGTGAGAAAGACTGCAAAACAAATTCATTCTTAGTCAAAATACTTTATATTTGGATAGAAGATAAATGTTGAAAAAGGCACAACTCCACAACCCAGGTCATTTCAGAATTTGTAAATTTCTAGCTTTTGGCATTTGTTACTTGTAAGCACTTTGACACGCAGTGTGTCATTTAATCTGCTCCTTAGGCAACACTGTCTGATTGATACTTTAACCACATTCCCAAGTGAGGGAAACTGAGGCTCAGAGAAGTCCACTGACTTCTCCCAGGTCACACTGCTGATCGCCAACAGAGCAGCACCCTCTCAGGACAACTCCTGACACCCAGCCAGTACCTTTTAAGTGACATTTCTGTGTTACACATAGTGCTCATAAATTTTCAGAATACTTCAACATAGAGCAAATTCTAGAGGGAGCTGTTCCCTGTTGGATGGCTCAGTGGACACTGTGTCTGGCAATGGGCTGGTCCTCCCTGTAGTCCAGTAGTGGCGCTCACTGAGGGCTCACTCTGCAGGAGACAGGTCGTCAGAAGGACCCAGTAAGGTAAGGCCTACTCTTCTCTCCATGTAGAGTTAGGGAAACTGAGGCACAGAGAGGTTAGATAACTTGACCAACGACACAGCTGGTGAGTGACGGAGCCAGGATTCGAACTCAGGGCTGTCTCATGCCATGTGTGTAAGAATTGCCCAGGGCACCCACCTTGCCTAGTAGTTCTGATTCAGTAGGTCTGGGATGGGACCAGGAATGTACATTTTTGCACACAACCAAGATAAGGAGTGCACACGGGGAGAAACACTCTCTTTAAGCTCTATAGCCCCCTCAACGAGCACGTCTCATTTCCTGGCAAAGAGATGATAAGTCATCCATTCATTCACTCATCCAGCAAACGTTTTCCAAGTGCCTTCCACATACCATGTGGTCTGCCTGCAGAGTTTCCCCACTCGCCTTACTGCCTTTCTGCATTATATGATTAATGCACGTGCATTGCTGTTTTGCAGTGGATGCACCAGTTGGAATGAAACTCCAAAGGATTCAACAGTGGATCTTTAACCCCCTCCCAACTTCTGCAGCCTCTCGTGGGCCATGGGCTCTATCCGTGTTCGCTTCTCTACCCTCATGGCCCAAGAAGACCTTGTTTAAAAGAGAGTCCCCTCCAACACACCACCTGGTAAGTAACACGGTCAGTGCTTTAACAGAAATATCAGAAGTTGGAAGGAAACCAATTTTGAGCCAACTGTGTATGAAATGTCAAAGGCTTTTCTTCCTCAAGGAAGGCTATTCCTTCTCTTTTGCTAAATATTGTTATCATTGGGGAGCAAATCCGTTTATCTTCCCAAAGAGCTGTTTCTTCTGTACAACATAGAGTGTTTAGATGAACAGGATGTGTAGATCTGAGCATTAGCCTGCCCCGTCTGCTGGTTCTAAAGAGGGCTCCGGGTTCTGCTTTAACTAGACCCGTTCACTTCCAGCTGTTCTAAAAATGCTGCTGCCGATGGTAACGGTGAGCATGTAACAAACACTTACTACGTGCCGGGTGCTGGGTTAGCACTCTGCATGCATAGTCTCTCTGGAGCCTCAGCACCAGTTCCTTAACCAGGTACTAACTTTATTCCCACTTTACAGGAAATTGAGGATTAGAGAGATTAAGAAGCTTGTCCAGGGTCCCAGAGGCAGAAGTGGCAGAGCCGGGATTTGGAGCCCCTCTCTTAACCGCTGCTTCACTCTCCTGCTGTTGTTGAATGTTCCCTGTCATGTATTGCCTCCACATGGGACCGTCTTTCACCTGAGGTTTCACGGCTTAAAATGGTGTGAGAACCACCTAGCTCAGCCAATGGGCTACCATGGCCACGAGCCCCTTCCTGGCCCCCTGCTACGTGGTTGTGTTAGTTTTCCAGGGATGCCGTAACAAATCACCACGACCTTGGTGGCTTGAAACAATGAAACCTATTCTCTTACTGTTCTGGAGGCCAGAAGTCTGAAATCAAGGTGTTGGCAGAGCAGAACCAGGCTCCCTCTGAAGGCTGGAGGGGAGAATCCTTTCTTCTCTCTTCCAGCTTCTGGTAATGTTCCTTGGCTTGTGGCTGCATCACTCCAATCTCTGTATTAGGATTCTCCAGAGAAACAGAACCCATAAGATGTGTATGATACACACACACACACATACATACATACATACATACATGTGTGTGAGAGAGAGATTTATTTTAAGGCATGGCCTCATGTGATTGTAGGAACTGGCAAGTCCAAAATCTGCACGGCAGGCTGGAGACCCAGCGAAGAGCTGGTGGAGCAGCTCCAGTTGGAAAGTCGCCTGCTGCAGAACTCCCACCTCCTCGGGAGAGGTCAGGCTTCTTTTGTTAAGGCCTCAACTGATTGGATGAGGCCCACCCACGTTATGGAGGGTCATCTGTTTTAGTCAGAGTGTTCTGATTTAAGTGTTAATCTCATCTAAAAAATACCTTCACAGTGACATCCGATGTGTTTGACTAAATATCTGGTATCATGGCCTAGCCCAATTGACACATAAAATCGACTGTCACACTGCTTCCAACGTCACATGGCCTTCTTGTCTGTGTCTCTGTCTGCTTCTTTTCTGTCACTAATAAGGACATTTGTCATTGGATTCAGGGGCCACCTAAATCCAATCCACCTAAATCCAGAATGGTCTCCTCCTGAGATCCGTAGCTTAGTTACATCTGCAAAGACCCCTTTTCCAAATAAGGTCACAGTTACTGGTTCTGGGGGTCAGGATGTGGCCATCTCTTTTCTGGGAGCCACGATTCAGCCCACCGCAGTGGTCGTCTTCTTTCCAGTCCGCTCTAGTAACAGGTGACTTGTCACCTCCCACGTAGCACTCCATCCTCAGTCGCCCCACCCCCCCCGCCCCGTGTGTTTTTGCTCGACAAGCTGTGTTTATTTGATTGTTGTTTGCAGGGTGCTGTATGAGGATCAGCAGAATAGAACGCCAGGCGCCTGCCTGAGGGCTGTCTAGGGCTCGTTAGGGTCCCGGCATGTGAAAGAGCCGCCAGGGTAGGGAGGCCGACACAAAGCTCAGCCTGAGTCAGGGCAGGCTAAGGCTGCCGCACGCCGTCAGCGCGTTCTCAGGAGCGTCGCCGCCCCTCTCTGCGTCTTTGTTCATCTGTACACTGCGAGGGTCACACTCTGGAGAGGGATGTGTGTTGTGTAGGAATCACAGGATACGGAGTCACACTGGCCGGGGTGAAGTCCAGGCTTGCTGCCTGTGCAGCCTTGGGCAAGTGAGTTAACCTTCACGAGCCTTAGTTTCCTCATCTGTAAAATGGGAGAAATAGAATTCGTGTATGTAAAGAATGGGGGTACACTGGCGTTTGGAAAGTAACAGCCACTGTTGTGATTATTGATGTCGCTGAGAGCTGCTGTGGTCTGCGATTCCGAGTACCGTGAAGGATGTGTCCATGCCGTGGGGGCCGGCCCTGAGGTCAGGGGGCATGTGGCAAGGGTGGAAATGAGCAGATGTTGGTAGTGATTATGAGGGGAACCAAGGCCTGGGGTTTCCAGGGCAGTGGGGCCGGCATCTGGGGCTAGCCCTGACTTTCCTCTGGGATCTTTCCAAGGAGGCTTTGCAGGGCTGGAGGAGGCCAAAAGGGTGGATTCCCTGCGTCGATGGTGGATCCAGCTCCCGGGAGGCTGCCCCCCAGCCCGCTGCGGTCCGCATCCACTCAGTCACTGCTGTGTGTGGCTGGTGGACCCCTCAGCCCACACCCAGGAGCCGCCCAGGATGGTGAGCAGTCATTAAAGGACGTTTCCATAGCTCTGCTCACGTTCCCCTTGCTAAAGGGTCGCCCTGGTTTGCTGCGCCCCTGTGACCGTGGGTGTCATTCCCCATTCTGCGCCCCAGACCAGGAGATAGCTCCTGTGTCTTCACACATCCCATTCCTCTTTCCTCTTAGGTTTGAAGTCCCAGTCCTTTAGTACTCTTTTAAAGAAAACCCTCAAGGTTACCTAAGGCATTGCTAAACTACAGAAGTCATCTCCCTAACCCCCTTTTAAAAGTCTATCCTGTACTTTTATTAAATATGTGTAGCATGAAATATTTTTCGTTTTCTAACAATTTCTATATTTTATTGTAGTATGGAGACATTTCAAGAGATGTTCGAGGAACTTTTGAGAATGGAGTCATTTTTCAGAAATGTGCAGTGGTAAGTGTTCATAGTGGCATATACTTAAAGAGAAAATAATTGGATTTTGCCCAAATGGAATATTAGTAGAGCTGTGTATTTAAGAATTGGCAAGTCTACCAGGGTTGTCTACCCGTGTCTGGACACATGAGTGATGAGGTGACCCACAAGGGGTCTTTATTGGCAGCACCAGCACTAAGAATTTTTGGTAACAATTAAATTATTGTTACTGAAAATGCACTGTGGTCATTTAGAATGGGAAAGAAAGTATGACATGTTTTCTTTCAGATTTTAACATGGGTGTGGTGCTTAACAGTTTTAAAAATTTATTTAATGTCTTTTAGGTCTTTGATCCTTACTTATCCCAGGAGATGGCTTTTCATATTATCCTTGTGTTGGGGGTCTCCACGACCACCCTCTAGTTCAGTGATTCACTAGAAGGACTCACAGAACTCTGAATACCTGTTCTACTCTCAGTTATAATTTATTACAGCAAAAGGATGCAGATTCAAGTCAACAAAGCAAAAGGCACGTGGAACAGAGCTTCAGAGAGACCAAGCTTCCCGCTGCCCTCTCCTGGGGGAGTAGTACTGACAGCGTTTAATTTTCCCAGCAATGACGTGTGACATCACGCATGAAGTATTGCCAGCCAGGGATGCTCACCCCAGCCTCAGTGTCCAGGGTTTTCATTGGGTGTCAGTCCTGTAGGCATGGAGTGTCCACGTAGCTGCCCTCAGTTACTCAGGCTCCAGCCCCTCCAGAGGTCACACTAACACAGCGTGGCCCAGGGCCCCCACTGTGAGTCACATTGTTAGCACAGACTACCTGGTGTGGCCCAAGGCCACAGGTATATAAAGACACTCTTATCAGTCAGGGTATTCCAAGGGCTTTAGAGGTTAATCTCCCAGGAGCTGGTCAAGGGCCGGTCCTTTCTTTGGAACGTGCAGGGAGTGGGCAGCCCAAGCCTGCTGAGTTAACCCTTGACTACACATCCCTCATTTTATCCCAGGCCCTCACTATCTTGTTGCCCTTCCTGGATACAGTCAGTGCTACCATTTTCTCCTTGTCCTCCTAGAGACGTTTTCTGCCATATGCCTGCAGTTGTGAGTGTGTGTGTGTGTGTACGTGCATACATAGCTACACCTCCCTCTCTCCTTTTACATAGGTGGCAGTACACTGTACACAAAGTTCTGCAACTTGCTTTTTTCTCTTACGTTCCAGAGCTCACTCCTCTCGGAACGTACATTGCTTCCCTCTCTTTTCTCAGCTCCTGCGTCTTTCAGCAGAGCAGGGGTGAAGGAGGGGCAGGCGTGGTGGGAGATAAACTTAGAGAGAAGGAGCAGGGCAAGGTTGCTGAGGCCAGGTGGGGAACCAAGCTGCTCGGGCCCCTGGATGGCTTCCAACAGCCAAGCCATTCCAACACGTGGCCGGGCAGAACCTGGAAGGGGAGATGGGCCGGGAGGCAGGAGACCAGCTTGGGTCCGTCCTGGAGATCAGATGGCAGTGAGAGGCGCTGAGCAAGGCTCTGGGGATGGGCTGAATCTTCAAAATAGCTGAGTGAGAAAGAGCTGTGGTGTGCTTTTCTTGGTGACACCAATTGTCACCATCTCCCCAACCTGACTGTGGTTCTGTGCTTGTCTATTTTTTCTTCTAAGTTCTCTGTAGGAATGATTTCACTGCATTTCAGGGTCCCAGTTACTTTGAATCTGTCACCAAGCAACAGCTTGGCAAGGATGAGTCAGAACTCTCCTGGGGCCTTTGAAATCAGACCTGATCAATTCTCAGAACCTTTGTGAGACCGTAATACCCTCCCTCTGCCTGAAGACCTAGTGCTCACAGGTTGGGCTGGGGCATCCTTTTAGGAAGTTGGACTTGTCGGCAAACCTGCCCTCGTGTCGTCTCCTGTCCCAGGTGTCCGGGCAGAGCGCGTTGCAGACAGCCCAGGTGCGTCTGCTCGTGAACAACACCAGGACGCCCGGGGCGGCCAACCTCTCCGAGCTGCTCTTGCTCGACAACATCACCGGCCTCACCGTTAGGGAGTCGACCGGAAACAAGACCTCGGAAGGATTCCAGGCGTTCAGAAAGAAGTTTCTGCAAGGTAATAGCAGAGTGTGCTCGGTCAGGAATGGAAAATGATGAAAATACCTACAGATCCTTACAGAGCACGTGGTGTGCAGCGGGCATGTTCTTAAACACGTCACTCAGTTAATCCTCACAACGGATTTTACTCTGGGGTATCAGAGGAGGAGACCACCGCTCAGTATCTGCAACCAGAAGCTGGATTTGTGCTTAAGTTCAAGAGAGGTAGGATTTGGGGAAAGAGTTTTTAAAATATGTATATTCAATTTTTATTAAATTGATACAAAGATAGCGTTTATAATGAGTCCCAATATATCCATCACCAGATGACCAAAATTGTCATCCCTCAGTCAAATGCAGAGCTTGTCTTGGGTGTGCTGGGGGGCGGGGGGGGACTTTGATGTCAGCCCTGGACGTGTGCTCATGAGATGTTGAGACGTGTTCAGGCGTGTTCACTGGGGTTCCTCTGCTGCTGATTAGCTGGATTTCAAAGTGCACCGCCATCACTGGTTGGCTTTTAGAGGTGTGTTTCCTGAGGCGAATTGTCATTGGTTAATTAATTTAAACCACTTCTGGGACTCAGTTGTTATCAATTTTCCTAGGAGGTGAGACTTCTTTTACTCTGAGTAGGAATCTCATTTACAGACGAAGAGAGTAAGGTGGTGAGGAGCTTACCTGAGGCCATGGGGCTGTGGTCAAGGTGGAGGTTCAAACTCAGGTGGTCTGGGCCCCCCGTCCACCCTCCTCATGCCGTAGGACCTCTCACATGCCTAGAACTCTTGCTGATCATTCCACTTCCGCATGCATGGTCTACATTGCTCATCAGTCATGCCACTCTTTCCCTCTGACCTTAGACGAGGCCTCAGAATCCTTCTTAACACCATACTATTGACAGAAGCTGTCAATGGAATTGTTCCACAAGTAGTGAGCTCTTTGCTGGCTCTGGTTTAAGCAGTGCCATAAAAACTGTTATGACACATCTCAGCTAAGTGATCTTCAGTGCCTTCCTTCAATGATGTAAAAATAAATCCCCTCAATTCTTAAGGTAGTGTTCAGAGAACAGAGCATGGGGCCATGAGCAGAGCACAGACTTGGTCTCAAATGGATCTGGGTTTGACTCTTAGCTTGGCCACTTAGGAGCTGTGTGGCCTCTGGAAACTACTGAACTTCTCTGAACTTCAGATGTCGCCTGCGTATAACAGTGCCTCACAGAGTCGTTGCGGAGATTGAACGAGGCCACGGGCCCTGGCCCTCTGCCTGGTTCCCTTGCCCACCTTCCCCAGCCCGTGGTCCAGCACGGCCTGCCTCTCTCATCTTGTTTCTCCAACAGCCTTTCACAGTCTGTGCTCCTGCCAGACCCAACTTGGCACTTTTCTTGCACCCCTGAACACCTGCTCCTGCTCTCGTGTCCATCTGGAAGGCTCCTCTCCCCTTACCTGCACCTCCCTCACCTGCCCCTCCTGCACTTCACCTGCTCAGAGCTGCCCACCGTTCTAGGCCCTTCCACGCGTGAACTCGTCAGATTCCACTCTGACGCTTGCACACTGCACATCTCTGAACCTCAGCCTCTTCATCTGTAAACTGAGGATGATGGTGGCACCTACTTCAGAAGTTGTAAGGAGAAGGGAATTAATTCTCGAAAAGGGATACAAGGCGGCCATGAGACGTACTCCCCGTGTTTGCACCTATCTTGTGATTATTTTTATTCTTCGTGTGGGTGCGGTAAAAAATGCATAATATAAGGGGCCGGCCCGGTGGCGCAGCAGTTAGGTGTGCGTGCTCTGCTTCAGCGGCCCAGGGTTCGCAAGTTCAGATCCTGGGTGCACCACTTGTCGAGCCATGCTGTGGCGGCGTCCCATATAAAGTAGAGGAAGACGGGCATGGATGTTAGCCCAGGGCCAGTCTTCTTCAGCAAAAAGGGGAGGATTGGCATTGGATGTTAGCTCAGGGCTGACCTTCCTCACACACACACACAAAAAAATGCATAATATAAGATCTACCCTCTTAAATTTTTAAGTGTATGGTAGAGTATTGTTAACTGTATGCGCGTTGTGGTACAGCAGATCTCTAGAACTTTCTCATATTTCGTAATTAGAGCTCTATGCCCATTGAGCAGCAACTCTCCATTTCCCGTCTCCCCAGCCCCTGGCAACTACTTTTATTCCTGTTGCTATAATATAGTTGTTGTTAGGTAAACCCATGCCTTACCTCTGTCTAGGAGGCTCTGCATGCCTGAGGGCAGCATCTGAATTGTATGTATCTGTGAACACAATGCTATGTCAGGGGATCTAACATTGATTTTCAACATAGCAGGCAGGAAACTTTTTTCCAAAGAATAAGTATATAACTATAAAATCAAATGACCAAGAGACCCCAGACCATTGACACTCTGACATCGTCATCATCATCATCATCATTATTATTTGGTGCTTTACTTTTATCAGAGACACTGTCGTTTAGAGAAAAGATGACGAGCCCGAGAGGGCCAGGTGCCTTCCTACCTGTTAACTGGGTGAGCCTAAGCACGCCTCTCCACCTCTCTCAGTCTCAGATTCCTCTTCTGTCTGTTGAGAAGTGATGTACTCCCCACCCATCCCAGGGCACCGGTGGGGAGCAGCTGGGCTGGTGCCCGTGCAGACACTGGAGGGTGATGCCATCGCTGCGCCAGGGGAAGGTCTGATTATACCGACCTTCACCAGTGTTATCACCTTATCTCTGTGATCCTAGCTTTTATCATTATATAAAAATAAAATGAAAATATTGAGGATTTTTAAAACAACAGTCCTACTGATTCCATAGCCTCAGTGCTCATTTCTCTTTTCTTTGCATTTATTTCTGAGGTCTCAATACACTGAGAAATGAGGCACATTATAGCATGTTATGGCTGAACTCGAACCCCTGTTACAGATGGAGGCAAAGTTGGAGGACAAACTTAGGTGAGATCAGAGGGGCCCACTGGCTGACCGGCAGGGATGGACAGGCTTTGTCACCCACCGGCCATATTGGGCCAACACCCTCAGTCCTGCAGGGGCTGAGCAGTCTTGCTTTCTGCCCACAGCCCACTGTCACGAGTAAGACAGCTGACAGGGATGCACCCAGCTTACTAATCAGATGAGGTGCACCAATGGGTGAGAAAGGGGCGGGGGGAGACCAGCCCTGTTGTAGGTGTGCTGCCCGCGCTCATGGACGGAAACATCGGGGTGGAGAGTGTGTGCTTCCCCCTGACAGTCTCTGTCATCTTGTTCTCCAAACCCACTGGGCCTCTCATTAATCTGTAGATCACTAGGGGGGTGGCTGGTTCACTGGGGAGGGAGATCAGCCATTGGTCAGGGCCCAGGACAGACCTGCTCCCCCAGACCACCCATCCTCTGCCCCTGTGTGTCCTTCTGTGGCTGTGGTGGGTAGAAGAGAGTTTTCTTCCTGCCCTGTGAAGGCTTTGGAAATGACTCAGAGTATTATATTATTGAAATAAACCCAAAGGATAATCTGTACCCGAGGCTGAAATTCTAATTCTAACATCCATTCAAGTCATATCCAGCGGTACTATTCAACAAGGCGCATCAGGGGGTTTGCAATATAATTAAAGGACGACCCTGAGTTCAGTCACATAAAGATTCTCCAACGATGACCTGCCAACACCTCCCTTTCGCAGATTCTTGGGGAGAAATGAAAATCGCGGGAATGAATCCCCTACAAATTGAAATCCAAATACATTCAAGTCCAGAACGAATTAAAATCTGAGATAAAAAATTTTACCCTTGTAAGTTTGAGGTCCAAAGTCTAAAATTCTTAAACTGAATACAAATTCCCCAAACCACCTTCCCAGTATTTTGTTCTGCCCAGCCTCGCCCAGAGGGTTGTTGCTGTCTGGAAGGAATTGGAGTTCCTTCAGCAGCAGAGAGGGTGTAGCCCCTTTGTCTCAGAAGCTGAATCAGGTGAATGCCAAGTTTCTCACATGCCTCATTTCTTAAAAATTCCACAGAGTTCAGGGGCCACACGAGAGTATCATGTAAACAAAATGTGGTCTGTCCACACGGTGGAATGTTACTGGACCGTAGAAAGGAAAGAAGAGCTGACCCATGCTCCAACATAGATGAACCTCGAACACATAAGCTCAGTGAGGGAAGCCAGACACAGAGAGCACATACTGTACGATTCCATTTCTATGGATGTCCAAAAAAAGGCAAATTAGTCCCAAAAAAGTAGATTAGTGGTTGCCTGGGGCTGGAGGTGGCGATGAGGAATGACTGTCGTTGGGCATGAGCCTCCTTCTTAGGGTGAAGGAAAAGCTCTAAAATCAGATTGTAGTGATGGTTGCACAAGTCAGTCAATATACTAAAATTCCTTGAATTTTGCATTTAAAACAGGTGAATTGAGTGATATGTAAATTTTATCTCAAAGCAGTTTGAAAGAAGAAAGGTATCACAGTCTCAGTCCCACAACTGCCCAGTTCAGACAACAAGCCAGTCAGCCCCTGAACAGGCTCGGCCGTGTCCCCAAACCCAGCTCGCAGTGTTTCCCCAGGCCGTGGCTGAAGCTTAGAGCCTCTGCCACAAAGAGCGGGGACAGAGCTGCTCCTTCGGTTTTAGTTTACAGAGTGTCTTCAGTCTCAGCCAGGTGCCTGGAGCCCACCTGAGAACATCAGTCCAGCGGGAGGAGTCCACTGTTGGCAGCTAGAGTGGGCGTGATCCGTTTCCAGCCTCAGGTGGAAGGATCCCCTGTGCGCAGTCCTGCACCTCCAGAAAGTGGGGCCTGAGACACGGCTGCCGCCTGCAGGCCTGGAAACTGGCGGTCTCATCTGGGGCTTCTCTTCCCAGCAGGGTCCCCGGAACCTGGTCGTTCATCTTCTGGTCTGATTGTGGCCCTTGCAGTAGCAGAGCTGCTTCTCCCGAGAGCAGGCGTTTTCAGTCCTGACTTCTTGCTAAGGAGAGCTTCGAGCCAGGAGCCCCGTCTCCCAGGGAAGCTTCTCCCTTAAATGTGAACAATTAATTTTTGTAATTAAGCGATAGAGGGCCAACCAGAGACCGTGAGGCTGGAGGGGACCCTACAGGAGCCCGAGGTGACCTTCGCTGCCCCCTCCCGGCCCTGGTCTGGCACTGCCTCCCCGTGCTGCTTGCTGTGCAGAACCAGCTGCCTGGAGGTGTCAGAGCGGCAGCTGGTGTCGCCCTGTCCACCAAGGCCCCCAAGTCCTGTAAAGGGTTTTCCTCAGTTGTGTGCACAGGATTGTTGGGAGTAAATACATCCCTGCGTGGATTTCGAACAAAACTGAAAGGTTCGAGATTTCCTAAGTGTGTGAGCTAAACACATCCCGCATTGGGAAGACTGACCCACCCAGTCCCAGGCCATGCTGGATGGGGCAGGGGTGCCTAGATGAAGCTCCTCGCACCTGCTCACAGCCCTTTCCAGGTGAATAAAGGGGGAGCCCAAGAGCAAGCGTGCCAGCCTGTTCTCCCTGCTAATACGCACATGAAGTCCCGATGGTGCCCTTGCTGCCAGCCGCGGCTGTGATGCCGGCCTCCTTTTGAACCCCCAAAGCAAAATGTGTGCCTGTGTCTGGGGTGTGATGGGGGCCCCGCTTTTGACTCACGCGTGCCTTCTCTCTGAGCAGTCGGAGACTCCTTCTTGGTCAGCTACACGGCCTCGCTCGAAGCCCGAGACGTTGGGAATGGAGAGATCCTGATGCTGCCTGCCCAGCTCACCTTTCAGAGCTCAGCACCGGTATTTCCTTGTTACTTTGAGTTCTGTCTTATCACTGTTGTGTTAGAAACGCTGAAACTTAAGGGGCAATATCTCTTAGTTCCTTCCTTCCTTCCTCCCTTCCTTTTCTTCCTTCCTCCCTTCCTTCCTCCTGTGATATGGAATTCTAGATAAGTGCATGGGCCCTGGACTCTCACACACTGTGTCGTGAACCTGGCTCCCATAGCAGCTCACTGTGACCTTGAGTAATTTCTTAACCCCTGTGGGCCTGACACAGGCTTATTATAAAGATAAGTAATCAGTGGATGTTAATTTCTTATCACTGTGTCTTGCACATAGTGAGCACTCAATCAGTATTAGGTTGCCAGAGCTGCCGTAACACGGTACCATAGACTGGATGGCTTAAAAACAACTGAAATTTATTCCCTCCCAGTCCTGGAGGCTGGAAGTCTGAGATCAAGGTGTGGGCAGGGTTGGTTCCTTCTGAGGCCTCTCTCCTTGGCTTGTGGACGGCCGTCTTCTCGCTGCATCTTCATCTGTGCATGTCTGTGTCCTAATCTCCTCTTCTTATAAGGACACCAGTCAGATTGGATTCGAGCCCACCTGGATGACCTCGTTTTAACTTAATGACCTCTGTCAAGACCCCATCTCTAAATCTAGTCCCGTCTGAGGTGCTGGGGGTTAGGGCTTCCAGATACGGATTTTGCGGGAACATGATTCAGCCCATCACACCATTACTGTTAGCATTTTTCATTCACCTTGTTGTTGATCCCTGTGTGCAGTGAACGCAGTTGGTTGTACGGCCTGTGCCGGGCGCTGGGCCCACTTGGGGAACAGGAGGAGGAGTTTCTGTCCTGGTCCTCAGGCAGCTCACGCTCTCGGTTCTTTGGTCATTTTGTTCTGACTTCAGCCTCTGGAGAAAGTTCCTTTTAATAGATGTGGAGCGTGACTGCCCAGGTCAATGACAGAATCAAAACAGGACCCACGGGTGCCGGCTCCTTGAGCCCCGAGGCTGAAGGGCCTGTGTGCGGCGTTGCTGCTGCAATAGGAAAAAAAATCCTAGATAAAATGAAAGATTCCCAAAAGGTAAAGACCAGACACAAGAAAACTGTATAAAACTGTCGGAAAAGACAAATGTCTCAGAAAATAATTAAGTACAAAGTCAAGCACAGAGGACAAAGAAGGATAAAAAATAGAGATAAAATGGCCCCGAAGAAATTCCATCCCAATTTCAGGGGACGGGAAATTGAGTAAGTTAAAATCAGATTTAAGATAAGGCAATAGTCAGAAACCAACAGTGAGAGACTCAGAACCCAGTGAAACCGGACGCCTCCACCTGCTCGTGCAAAAGCGTTAAGGTCTGGGGCCAGGGCATCTGCGAAGCCTCCCGAGGTGCCTGGGAGGGCTGGTGGGGAGCAGGAGGCGTAGGGTGGGGAGGCTCCCTCACTCACTCCACAGCCACCTTCCAAGTCGTCATGCCCTACTAGTCCTGTCTGTTCCTTTGCTTGGTGCCTTATCTGTTTGTCCTGTTGATACTTCCCCCCGAGTAACCCCCACACCCCCCCATAGGATGTCAGCTCCATGAGACCAGGGACGTCATTGGTCGTATTCACACCTGTGTTCTCAGTACCAGGAATAGGGTCTTGCACGTACTAGGGACTCAGAAAACATTTGTTGAATAAATGAATGAACAAATCAATAAACTAATGAATCTTGGGCAAGTTTTATTTTATTTTTTTGACTTCTCTGAGCCTCAGGTTTCTCATCTACGAAAAGGAGATCATTCTATCCATGTCTCCACCGTGGGGATCAATGAGATGATTACACATGCAAATGGCCTGCAGTTTCCTTCCTTTCCCAGCCCTCGAGGGCTCTCTGGGCAGTTCCGTGGACAGAGGGTGGAGAGCCCACCTGCCAGCAGGAAGATTCCAGAGTTCAAGCTTCATTGGCTTGGGTTCTAGGCTCCTGCCTGCCTGGCATGTTAGACTGTGGCATCACCCCTGCCTCAACCCTGCGGCAGAAACGACTCATAGAAGGCCGGTGTTTGTTGAGTGAATAGGTGCTGGAAGTTGGCAGGGGCTCCTGTGTGTCTAGTTCTCGAATCGTTCCACCTAGTTGGACTTCACATCCCTTCGGGTGACCACTGGGCCTTCACACATGATGTAAAGAAGGTCCAGTGTATTTGAGGCTGAAAACGATTGGACCCAAAGTGAGTGAGACTTACATCAGCGCCACGTGAGGACGCTGGTCTGCTCTGCCTGTCAGTCAGTCGTGAGAAGTCTTGCGCTGCGAAGGGGAGAATGAAGGGATTGTGTAGAAGCGCAGGTGCTCCACAGGATGAAATCCTTCAGGTTAGTGTGGAGGCGTGTCTGATAGTTCAGAGCCCGAGAACCGCTGCCCCTGCTGTAGTGTCAGAGGCTGTGCGGCTTCTCTGGGCTTCAGTTTCCTACCTGGAAACTGAGAGGAGGAGGAAGATTCCCCCCAAATCTCTTCTAGTTCTGACATTTTGGAATTGTATGAGAGCAATGGAGGAGGCAGGAAAAATGGTTACCACTTATTCATTGTCATAGCAAGAGGTGTGTTTGGGTCTGGAAACTGCCTTTTCAAACGCACACACACACCCCAAATTCATATAGGGTTAGATGAAGGGGGATCAAGAGGGAAAAGTCTAGAAGATTCATCTTAAGTTCCTTCCAATGTATTATATAAACATCGTGCCCAGTTTGTAAAACCATCACCACATCCCACTTGGTCCCTGTTTTCCGACTGCGTGTATGGTCTAAATCGTGTTTCTTGAGCCTTGAAGTTTATGTAGTAAATGCAGGGGGAGGATTTCTGTTTTGCGGAGAGATGAAGACGAGCTCTGCAGCACACTAAGGTCCTCTCTGCTTAGACCTGGGGTGTCAGAAAACACAGGGAGGAGGAACCCGGAGGGAGAGAAGAGGATGAAAAATGTAATGGAACGTGGGCCTCTGAATGCAGCCCTGGGTGTCCAGTTCAGGGGACCCTGAATCTCACAGGGCGCCAGAATATTCTGAAGCAGAGACAATTGAGGAATGGAAAAGGCCAAGTGATTGCTTCATAGTTGTCTCTCCTTTTTAAAGTCTCATATTTAAACATGTTTCTGCTTCCCTGCTGGAAAAGAGGACTTGTAGGGTTTTGGGTTCCTTTCGAAGCCTCCATTAGATTGCCCTGCTAGCCCACAGTGGGTTTGGGTGGCTCGGTGCTTCCCGGAGCTGCTGCTATAGCAATGGTAGGGCATGGCTCAGGGGGTTTTCTACCTTGGGGGACCGCAGCTCAGGGTAGGGAAATGCCTCGGTGGTGTCCATGATAGATTACACGGGGTTGCCTAGCTCGCTGGACTCCAGGCTCCAGTCTCAAGGCAGGTTATACATGAGGACCCCACTGCTCCTCCCACCACGACCCATGGCAGTCAGACTTCCATAGTGCCCCCTGTGCGCTAGGGACTCTCTGCTTCTGTAATTTAATCCTCACAGCAACTCTATGAGTTTAATGTGATTCCCATTGTACAGATGAGGAAACTGAGGCACAGAGAGGTCAATAGATGCCCAAAGTCAGACTGCTATGAGTGACGGAGCCGGGTGTGAGCCCAGGCAGGCTCTCCCCAACACCCTGTCCTGCCTTTTAGCTGTGACGCGTTCTCCCCCAACCCCAGGAAAAAGTGTGTTCTCCTACTGGTGTTCTCAGATACCACGCTGCTGGACACACAGCCATCAGAACTCTCATCCTTCGTTTTTCCATTTCCTGCATCTTCTGAGCAGAGGAGTATTAGAGGCATTGGGGGTCAGGTGCATTAGAATGGGAGGTGCACTCAGCATCTCATCAGAGCCCCACAAGTCTCTCCACCCTTCCTGAAGGAAGCGGACGCTGGAGGGGTGAGTGGCTGCTCCAGGTCACATGGCCGGTAATCTTTGCAGTCAACCCCCAGCCCCAGCCTGGCCTGACCCCAAGCCCAGGCATTTCCCCACAAGGGCAGACCCCCAGTGGTTTCTTGGCAAATAGGGAAGCTGGGGTTTGGGTTTCACACAAGCTTTCGGGATAGAAGGAGGCATCACGTTTCCACAGACCTTTCCCCGGAAGGGACCCTCAGACCCCAAAGCTCCGACCCCCCAACAGTCTAGGGCCAGCTTAGCTCCAGGCACGGGGGGTGGGAAATACACCAGATGTTATTCCTTGGGTCAGACTCCAAAACTTGTGGACTGTTGACGAAAGCATTTTCTTTTTTCTTTGTCTAGAACAGAACACAGCTAAAAGCCCTTTTCACCATAATAGCAGAAGAAAAGATAAAGGTAAGAGAAAACATTTGACCTGGACACTCACCTTATCCCCAGTGTGTCATTTATGCCTGTGGTGTGTGGTCTCTTGCTGTCCTCAGAGCCAAGAGGAGGGGCCCGCCGCTGGCCTTGGCAGCCCAGACGCGTGCCAAGGCTAGGGCTCTGGGCAGTCTGGGGTCCCCCATGTGGCCTGAGGCTGTCTGGCTGGTTTCCCGGATGATCCCTCCCTCTGGGCAAGATGGGTCGGTCCCTGCCTGGACAGGCTGAGGCCCCACCCACCCATCTGTGCTTCTGTTCAGCTGTGCTCATTCATGCCCACCCCACAGTGATGGGCTCTCACAACCACCCTGTCCTGCCTTTCAGCTGTGACATGTTCTCCCTGCACCCCACTGGGGTTAGCTGGTGGTCGTGTTTTTTCTTCCCAGATCTTCCCGGGGCACTGCAGTCCGGGGGCAGGTCTCCCTGCTTCTGCTGCTCACCATTAATGCTTTTCCATTTTTGTTCATCAGTTTGATCACCCATAGCTCATGCAGGCACTCATTCATGTATTCATCAAGTGTTTACCCACCATAATAACGACACTTCACATTTCCTAAGCACTTGCTAGCTGCCAGGCATTCTAAGCAATTACATGTGCAGAATCGTGTGATCTTCACCACAGTCCTGGGAGATAGATTCTATTTTTAAATCACCCCCATTTCATAGATGGGGAAACCGAGGCACACCTAGGTCAAGTACTTTGCCCAAGGTCACGTGGCCAGTGTGTCAGGGTTCCCAAGGCCACCCCAGGCTCACGTGATTCACGAGACTCTGTGTGTGGGTGTCCTCACTGCTGACTTATTGCAGAGAAGGGATGCAAAGTAGAATCAGAGAAGGGACGAGTTGCATGGGGCAAAGTCCAGAGGAACCAGGCACGAGCTTCCAGAGCCCTCTCCAGTGGAGTCACAAGGGACACACTTAAATCCTCCAGCATCGAGTTATGACAACACAAGTGCAGTGTCGTCCACCAGGGAAGCTCGTTAGAGACCCAGTGCCAGGGTTTTTACTGGGGGCTGGGCACAAGGGCACCCTCTGCCTGGCACGTACCAAACTCCAGACTCCCAGAGGGAGAGCGGGTGTTCAGTATAAACCACATCATTTGCACAACAGTTTAGGCACAGGGAGCCGCACTTATCAGGGAATGGTGGGAACTCTCCCAAAATCCAGATTCCCAGATGCCAGCCAAGGCCCAGCCGTGTGAGCAGGGTCTCAGAGGACAGCAGTCTCAGGCCTGCTGGGTGAGCACTTTTCTGTGCAGCTAGTAGGTATAAGAACCAGGATTTGAACCCAGGCACTTGGCTCCAGAGCCCTGCTGTTGACTGCGGGCCATGCTGCCTCCTCGCATGCTGAATTCCTGCATGGAGAGATGGAAACAAACTCTGACTCTGGCTATAGCCAGCTGACAGTTTATGAGGAATGGGGCACACAGGTGCAAATAGTTTTTCTGCCAGTCTGTGAGCTCCTGGCGGGTGGGGCCCTGTCTGATTCATCCTTGTGTCCCCCGCTGTGCCTTACACTGTTGGTGGGGCTCAACAGGTAAATAGCCCGAGATTGAGCTGATTGTCATCAATGGCGGTGATTGCCCCTCAGTGAGGAGGTGTCTGGTCGCCGTGTGATTGTCGTAAAAGTCAGAGAGCACTCATTGAATTGATATTCACGAGCCCTTCTTCCATGCCCCAGGCCCTCTCCTGTGGATGGAGATGAGCCACACCCAGGTCTCGGGGCTGCCTTCAGCCCACTTTGCCTCCAGGAGAAACAGGAATAGATGCCCCCTCTGGGCTGCAGACAGTGGGGCCAAGGCTGGGCAGTGGAGCAATGGGTTGGATTTCAGCCCTACCGGCCCCTGATCCAGGTGCCCTCAGACTGTGGACCACATTCAAGGAGGTCACCGTTTAGTGAGGAGTCAAGGCACATGTATGTGACAGCCCTACAGTGTTGTGGTGACAGCAGGCTCTTGGACCTGAAGGCCTGGCTTTGACTCCCTGTCCCTTCACTGATTATATGTGACCTTGAGCACGTTACTTTCCTCCCTGGGCCCAACTTTCCTAGCTGTAAAGTGAGAATAATAGTAGTACCCGCTGCAGAGGGTGGTGGTCAAAGTAGATGGATCGATGTGTGAAAAGCCCTCAGCACAGGGCCTGGCATTCTGTAATTACTCCGTAAACATCAGCTGCTGTCGTCAGTGTTATTATCATGTGCACATGCAACACCACCACTCCGCCAAGTGCTCTGTGATAATCGCGAGAATGTTATGTATCAGGGTCTCAAGCTCATGCCCGCGGGGACCACACAGGTGCTGTAAGTGTGTGAGTCAGGCCCATGTAAGACTCTAGGGCTCAGTGGAGTCTGAGACAGCCTGGAGACTCAGATCGCCCGTCACCCACTGTCTCCCCCCCACACTGAGTCATTAAAGGAGAAAAATAAATGCCAAGCAATGTGCAACAGCTATGACTGAATTTGTGAGGCTGTGACAGGAAATATAGATCGTATGTGCTGTGGGTACTCACAGGAGAGAGAGGGCGCTGGGCGGGCTGTGGAGATGGCAGGCTTCTTGGAGGAGGTAAGAATCCAGTTGGACCTTAAAGGAAGGATTTAAAGATGGAAGAGGAGTATCCTAAAATACGCAGCTGAAGATCTGACGTCAAGGTTAAGCCAGTTTGACTGTTGGTGGGATGTGAACACACGTCTCCTGCTGCAGGCTCGGTGCCCGGCAGCACTGGGATGCACGTGGGGTGAGACAAGGCCCTGCCTGTTACAGTGTGTTCTCGCAGGGTTGACTCAGACACCTGCCAAGATAGCGTCCTTACCCTAGGAAGTGACGGTGATGAATAGGAGGAGCTTGGCAGCGGGGAGAGGCTCCCTGACATTTTCATCAAGCAGTTAAAAATACAGAGTGAAGACGAGAAATAACCCATTGTGTGAGTTGGGATTCTGCAACCCTTGGAAGAAACCCCATGGTCTCCTTCATCTCCTGTTCCTTTCCTGAGGGTGAAGCTTACATAGCTCGGGAGAATGAGGCCCCAAGAACTTGCTTCCCATTTCCTCTCAAGACGTCTTCTTACCTGGGTGACTAGGGTCTCCTTGGCGGGAAACAGATCGCGCCGCGCTGGACGTTGGGTGCAGGCGTTGCGATTGTGCCAGACTGCACTCTGCAGCTTCTTGTGTTAATCATGTGCCCAGGGAGGGGCTGGACTCCGGCCAGGCACCGGCACAACAAGGGGCTCGGATCCCATCAGGAGAGAGACGTTTCAACCAGTCGTTATGCCACCCAGATTCATTTAGAGTGCAATTCCAATAGTAACCCAAGTGGAATTTGGAGGGGAGGATGTGATCACATCGATCAGAGTTTCACCTGAAAATACAAACTTATGAAACTCGATGAGAAAATTTTGAAAATGAAGAGTAATGTTGGAGGATTTGGCCTAGCAGCTACTAAGAAATTATAAAGCTATGTTAATGCCGTGTACAGCTCCTGCAAGAAAAGTCAGACCAATGGAACAAGATGTGATATCTACACATATATATATATGATAAAATGGTATTTCAAATCAACAGGAAAAGAATATATCCTTCATAAATTTGGGGGCAACTGGCTGAATCTTTTAGAAGAAAAATAAAGATGAGCTCCCTCATCAGATTGAAATCTAAATAGATAAAACAATTTGTAGAAAGTAAATATAGGTTAATATTATATGATATGAAGAAAACCACGTAGGAAACCCATGGATTTAGATACGCAAATAGTTGAAAACTTGACATGTAAAAACAGCATTAAGGAAGGTAAGTGCCAACTTGGGGAAATATTTGTAACATACATAAAAAAAGAATTAATGTCTTCAATATGTAGAGAGCTCCTATTAATTAATAAGAACAAGAATGCCTCAATAGATAGCCATGTACAATATGAGAATTTCTCAATTACGAGAATTTGCAATGTGTGCCCTTGAGCACAGTGGAGGGAGTGTGTAACTCTGTTGGAATCGTGTGGCTTTGAGTTGAACACAGAGGCCTGGAGCTGTGCACTCACCTATTATCACGTCTGCCTTCTCTGTGTCACATCTTGCACAAGCCCACTGCCATTGCCCTCACCTGGTTCGGGTCACCTCTTGTTTGGATTGCTGCACCAGCCTCCTCCCTGTCAAGTCCTGCCCCCCTCCAGCCTCGTCCTCACTGTAGTGATCTTCATAACACAAACCTGCTCGCTTGCTATTCTGGAGGGGGTCCCCACTGCCTGCTGGATTAAGCCCAGTTCCCTCAGGTTAGTATTCAGGATCCGTCAGGAGAGTTGGCCTCTGCTCTCTCCCGGTGCTGCTGGGTCCTTGTGTTTTCCACATCGCTCTGGTTTTGCCTGTGCTCCTCTTTTCCTGCCTGTCCTTTGGGGTAGCTCGTAAACATCCTGCAGGACCCTGACCACCGTCTCCCCCTCTGTGATTCTCTCGCCTCCCCCAGGCATGCTGGTGGCATCCTTTGCTGGGATCCCATGACATTGGGACGTCTGATAAACCAAGTCACTGTGTGACGTTGAGATTACTCCCCTGGTTGGCACTTTATACATTTTTGTTGACATCAGAGTAGAATTTTTGCCCTGGAAGACACTTTAAAGATTATCTAGTTTCACTTCCTCTTTTTTTTTTTTTTTTGTTTATTGCGGTAACGTTGGTTTATAACATTGTAAAAATTTCAGGTGTACATCATTGTACTTCTATTTCTGCATGGACTACATCATGTTCACCACCAAAATACTAATTACAACCCATCACCACACACATGTACCGAATTATCCCTTTCACCCTCCTCCCTCCCCCCTTCCCCTCTGGTAACCACCAACCCAATCTCTGTCCCTATGTGTTTGTTTATTGTTATTATCATCTACTACTTAATGAAGGAAATCATACGGTATTTGACCTTCTCCCTCTGACTTATTTCACTTTGCATTATACCCTCAATGTCCATCCATGTTGTCACAAATGGCTGGA